AATCCAGGAAAACCTACTATTGTAAAACTGGAAAAGCAATGGTTAGAATGGGAACAGAGTAGCCCATACACTAACAAGTTTAAAGCACATTACAATGGATTAATCATATTTCCCTTGCCTTGATCTTTTCTGCTTTATTTTGTTCTGGACTTGCTGATTTGTATCTCAAGCCATCTTCACCAGCTTCACTCTGCAAGTCCAAACCACCAGAGGTTATAAAACTGGCACTAAAGGCACTTATCCCTTTTCTGTGGCTACTCAGTAATTTCTTTCATAAGCAAAACAACTTTTTTTCCTCCACTGGAACAATACCTTCCCTTGAAAAAACCCATATATTTCACTTCTTTTTCTTTCTTCTGAGAACCATCTATGTATACTTTAAGAACTGTAGTTCAGGTGATATTATTGGCTAAATCTGACGCGCTTTCTGACTCAAAAATGTTTGCAGAGTTCCTCACATACTTCTCACAGAAACCGAGCAATAGAAAACAAGCCTACTATGGCGTATTTCCTTTTTATGTTGTTGTTTGAGCTCAACAGTGTAATATTCTTTGCACTTGATTTAGTAGTTAACAAATAAATTAGTCTTCTTCTGAATCTCAGGAGGATTACTATTAGCAAGGAAAATAACTTCACAAAAATATTTCTATTCCCAGGAGAAGTTTAAGTATGTTCAGCCCCAAGTTCAGCTGACTGCGAACCCCAAGATCTGCTTCAAAAATGTAAGGAGGAAAACAAAAATACACAAACAAAATTTACTAAACTCACTTAGACTGATTTATTATTTGTCATTCCTTTGATACATAGAGTAACTTATCCCTAGTTAATTAACAAGTTACTTTAAAGCATCAGGTTGAACAAAAACTGACTTCACACTATTGGTATAAATTACATTGAATTAACACGTAGCGTTAATTGCCTCCTTTTTCTTCCCTCACCGCTTTGTCCGGAGAGAAAATACCTCTCTATCCGGTAAAATACCAAGTCCTGTTTGATTCCTGGGTTTGTCCCATAACTTCAACGCACTTCAGCACCTTCATTCTTCCACTTCACATTTAAAAAACTCAAAGAAAAAAACCCCAACTTGCAGATAAAAGCACTCGATCCCCTCTTGCCACGTGCCAGCCTTTGGCATCTCTGTGCTCTGGGCTTCGGTGCGGAGCTCAGCGCGAACTGGAAGCCAAGGTCCGCAGCCGCAGTGAGCCCGTGAGCCGGTGCCTCTCCGGGGCCCTGGGCAGCCACCGGCGCGGCGGGACGGCAGGAGCCCCAGAGGCAGCGCGGGCGAGCCGCCCGTGTGGTTCAACCAGAGCAAATCCCTCTCGGGAGGACGCGGCTCCGGCCGAGCCCCGCCGGACCGGGCTGATGCCCCGTGGCCCGGACCGGGCGCGGAACGGCCGGCAGCGAGGGGCACCGAGAGGCCTCGGCTGCGCCGATACCGGGGCTGGCCAGGACGGGCCGGGCACCCCAGCACCACCGGTTCCGGGACAAAGCGGCCACCGACCTGCCGGCGCTCGAGGCGCGCCCCCGGCCGGGCTGCGGCCCGAGGCCGATGTTCAGGGCGCGGGGACAACGCCGGCGCTCGCAGAGACCCCCGGCCGGGCACGGGCCGGCTCAGCGCGGCGGCTGAGCGCGGACGGGCCGGCCCGGAGCTCCCGCCCGACGGGACAGCTCCGGCCCCCCCACGCCAGAGAGGGCGGGCGCCGTCACGGCTGCTGCCAGCGAATCCCGGGCGCCAGTGGCGGTTCCCGGCATGCCGCGGCGCCTACAGCTCCCGCCGGCCCCCGCGGCCCGCCGCCGTTAACCCTCTGCGGCGCCGAGGCGCCTCCGCCGGCCCGCCCGGCTCCCCCCTCGCCGCTGCCCGGCGGGTCCTGCCCGGGACCCCGGCCCGGTGCCTCCGCGGCCCCCGAGGAAGATGCACCCCGCCCCGGCTCCCCGGCGGAGCTCGCTCCGAACGGCTCGGCCCGGCCCGGCCCAGCGGCGGGCCCCGGGCCGCTGCCATTGTGGCGGGTTTCAGTACTCCCGCAGTGTGCTTTCTGGTCCCGGCCACAACTGTTTGTTACTGGCATTAACTGCACGCTCCCTGAGAGATAGTAAAAAACAGGTGAAATACCTTATTCTAGCTGGTGGGGCTTTAAAAAAGTTCTTTATTTATGTTTGAGGAGGCAAATTGTAATAAGCAAATTAACTCCAAAATAGCTTTACAACCCTTAGAAAACTTCGTGACAAAGTTACTAGGAAATGCTTTGCTATCCTGTAGTGAAAGGAATGTGAAAATCATTCACTCATGTTCTGCCCTCCTTCCCATACACTCTCCATACAGGTGCTCAGTATACGTGTGACTAACACATACAGCACTTTTACAGCTCCTCTCTTTAAATAAGTAGCAAACAATGTGCATGCAATTGCCCTGCTGGGAACTAAAAAATATCCCGGGGAGTCAGACTCAATTTATAGAGGGACAGGGGCAGATAGCACAAGTCCAGGCAAAAGCAGCACCTCGGAGTAAAACCCTCTGGGTCTCACCCGGCCCCCCTCCACAGCACGGCATCGCACCCCAAAACAGCCCCTGCATACACAGAGACTTCATCCTCTATTCTTCTATTTTATTTGCAATTTTTTTTTAATGAAAGCCTCATGCAGAAAATAAAAGTCAAATAGCTCTAATTTGTAATGCTGCAGACTGTAACATGCTCAGACGTGTAACTGCCTGACAGGCTACACAGAAATCTACCTTAGGCTCCAGCCTCTGAAACAAATGCAAATATCCAGAAACATTCTCCTATTTCTCCAATATTAAATGACAAGTAAAACAAACCTATTGCCAGATTTTTTTCATACAAATACATCTTTTAAAAAAATTAAATCACTACAAATTTATTATTTATTTCAAACTATAAACAACACAGAGGAAAGAAACACATATACGTTTCCCTTTTTAGAAAAAAAACCCAACAGATTTATCTATGAGAAAAGCCCACACGTAGCTCCTTTTTTTAAAGTTCATTTTTTACTACCCTGCCCCTGAAATCAGCCTACAACCAATAGATTTATCTAGAGAAAACACAATTGGAAAACCTTTTTATGTTGCACTCTTTTTGGACACTTACAGGAGATTTTTAAAGACAATTCACAGCCATGCTATTTCAAACAGCACGAATACAATTATTTAGAATTTATTCTTTACTGTGGAAAATTTTACTTTGATATATTTTCCAGAATTTCCTGGGAAAACACAATCGGTCCCCATGTAGCTAAGCGCACCTACACTGTTACCTCTTTCTCTATATTTTTTCCTCACAAATCAACCACAAACATTTCATAAGTGTTTACATAGACATAATAAAATTAGAAGAACAACAATACCACAAGAAAAATGCTCAAAACCAAACTGAAGGTGTAAATGACCTCCTGCCATGTTCCAGACGTACCTACAGAATCCCTCCTCACTGGTACAGGATTATACATTCCATTATAAGTTCAGCCTTTTCATATTTTGTACTATTTTAACACCCTAAATTTATAGATTTTTAAAATTGGCATGTTAAAAGGGCTTTATTTAAGAATTTCAATGAAAATAGTGTTATGTTTTGTCATATTACCATAATCCTTCTTTTTAAATCACTTAGAATTTAAGTATAACCTAATTAAGTAATTTTAAGTAAGTCTTAACCCAAATACATAGATCTAATAAAAATGTATTTTGCAAACAGGGAAAATAGACTTCTAAAATGGATTCCTCAGGTATGAACAAAGATGCTGAAACATTTCCTCCCCACAAACTTTGAGATCTGAACTATATCACGACAATTAGATTTAAAACCAAAATACATATAAGAAAACAAATTTCTCCAAATATCTAGCATAATGTTTCCTTCCAATTGTATTTATTTATTCCTTTTACATTTGAAAGAAATCCTTCTATTTTCCTTGAGGAGAAAGAATAGGGGAAGAAAAATACTTAAAATCCTAACTACCTATCTACACATACTATTTATTTCAAAACTCTTCTAACAGCAGTTAATACTTTATTTTAGATAATGTATATTATCTTGCCTGTAAAATATTATTATTTAGATTTCTGCCTTTTCAAAGAGTACAGAACAACATTATAGATTTTAGAGTCCTCTAATCATCTTTAATCTCTCACTTTTTTCAATGCTACAAACATCCTATTTGGTAAATGGAATTTATATTTTTCTCTTGTCTTAATTATCAGAGTTGAATCAACAATTCAAACCAAGAAGAACAAGTGACGTACCGTAACACAATAGCAACTCCAACACTTTAACACAGCTCCTCTATGTATTGGTGTATAAAAAGCTTGCACAAAGTATAAAATACCTCAGAAACACAGACTCTTTCCTGATCAGAAAATTTTACTTATTCACTAATTTGACCTCCAGCAACTGCATTTTTCTCAAAAAGCATTCTATCTAGAGCTTTATGCCATTTACTGACTCTTGCTTAATTAACCAGCATGCTTTAAAACCAAGTCTCGGCCCTTCAACTTAATCAGAACAGACTACTTTTAATTGCTACCACATCAAATATATTTGTCAACACAATAAAACCACATACAATTAGAAAGAACTATTTTTTCTAGCCCTCTCTTTGACCAACCAGAGATTGTAGCATCTACTTCCAATTTATTAGCTGTTCTAATATGAAGCAAACTGAAACACACACGACAGTTCACAAATACATTGATCTTTCTATAATATCCTATCATTTGCATCTTTTAATGGGAAAATCCAGAATACCACTGTCAGCACTGCTGTTCTCCTGCAACCGATCGGACCTCAGAAGGACTTGGCATTAACTTCCCTCCCTCACAACACTTTGCCTCCTCACCTCTCTCAAAATAAAACAAAAGTATCTATGTTTGTCTGAAATGTCAATAAACACCAAAATCTAAAAGGCCAAAAGGTCAGGTATTATTTAATCTGAACAGAAAAGTTATTTTTTCTCTCTCTCTCAAGCCATCAGTAAGAGCAGGTTACCTGAGAAGAAATGCCCATGTCCCTTAGATGTCCGTCCTTCTGTCCCAAAACAGGGGCTGTGCCACGCTCTCTGTAACATAAGAGGGAATAGATTAAAATTGTTGTATACCCAGGCACATTTCTGTACATTCAAATTATCTGTCCCTCAAAAAGCTTTATATCTTTTCGTCTGAAAAGCATTTTAAAAACTCTTATTACATTCTACTCTGAGTTCTCAAAATTGGCTTGGATAAGTCAGGTACACATGTCAAAAATTAGTTCCATACATTGTCAGTTGAAGTACCAGATTCCCCAGGCCTGCTTTTAATTTCTTAGAGGCCTCTATATCACTGCATGCTCTATCTCATTTGCAGCATTTAATCTGCAGGTGCTATGATCTTATATTTAAATATATATAGATATAGATACAGATACAGATATAGATACAGATATAGATTTTTTTTTTTTTTTTTACATACAGTGAAATTTTTTAAAAGTCATTTACATGAGGGACAAAGTCCTGAAATATTTCTTCCCACAGCAACTTTTCCCTCCTCTGCTTTAAAAGTTGAATACCTTCCCAGATAAATATGGTCTTTGCTTTACCCATTTTTCTGTGATTTGTATCATTTTGTACTTACTTCTGATGCTGCAGAATTTACATAGGCCTGTAGTTTTGAGACTTCTATCTCCTCCCTCCACCTGCATGGTAGATACCAGCTAAAATCACTGTCTATAGACCATTCCACAGCCCCCCCCCCCCCCCTTTTCCCTTCAAACTTTTCCAAACAAATGTGAGAGGGAAAAATGTTTAAGATAATGAATACAAATTCAGTGTGTTAAATTAAAAAAAAAAAAAAAAACAAAACAAACCAAAACATCTTGCTTCAGTTTGTCATTTAATAATCCTTATCAACATAAATCATGGTCAGAAAGCCTCAGCACTGTAGGGTGTAGTATTCATGACTAAACTGCCTTAAAAAAATACATCATCTTGTACCCTTTTCCTTCCATATATTTATCTTCCTCATACTGCTCAGATCTACAGCAGACTGTTGCCACACATGTATTTTTACACATAATTTCCTAGACACTGACAAATGTGAACCAAAGAAGAATTTTGCTCAAGGTTAACTTAGCTAAATCACTTATTTCCTCCATTCTCTTTTTTCCCATGGCATCCAATGGTTTTTTTTACCCTCTGCTGTTGTTTTGTTTGGTATTTCCCCACTTTCCTGTACATTTGTCTCCTGCTGATCCTACTAGATTGGGCAGGAAGAACTGAATGACTGTCTCTCCCCATTGCTACACTGCTATTTTTTGGTGTTTTATCAATTAAATGCATTTGACCATCATTTTAATATATTTTTAAAGGTACTTTTCCTTTCCCTTCTCTAGAAACTTGCTGATTACAGTTACCAATACTTTTGTAAGCAAGGTCAATTCTGTCCTGCTCTAGCACATGCTTCTGTCATAATATTAAGGGTACATGACTTAAAAGTCTGTGATGCAGTGCATGCAAAAGGAAAATGTGTAAGAAAAAGAGGGTAATGTGTACAGATGCCCCTAAACATCATAAAGAAAAAATTGACATTTTTAATTGGTTCTGACTTTTTAAAGAGATACCATCATAAGAAAACACCTATCTTAGAGGAAATCTTCTCCTAGATCACTAGCAACACTTTTTCACACTAATAAAAGCAAAGGAAATTTTAAAATTCAAATTTACTGTTAAGCATCAGCACTTTAGGATTTCTGCATTTCACTCAGCCTGGGAAGGGAGAGTTGCCTGTTGGTTTCACTTTTGTTCTCAGCTAGTTTCACTTTCATGCACTGGCAGAATCTTCTATGTTTTTGGTTCAGCAATGTTAAAGACAACATTTACATCTTTAAACAATCCTCATTACACTTTTAATATGAACAATTTGTGTCCATCTGCTTCCCAGGACACTAAGAAAAAGTAATTTGGGAGTCTAAATATAATGGGTGGCATACTTCTAAAGGAGCAGCTTTCACCTGTCTCATGTTGGGTTGTGGTCTGCTCTTTCTTTCCCTGAAATCAATAGGAAATGTGCCATTCATTTCAGTGATAGCAGGATCAGGCCACTGGGTCTGTAATCTGCAACAAAAGAATGCCATATGCCAGACCAATATATTCCTTACAATATACAGTGTTTGCCTTTAATTATTTTCCTATGCAAACTCAAGGGAAAAAAAGTGGTCCCTGCATTTAACTTTCTGTATGCTTTTAAATTGGCCATAAATACTCTTCCTGACACAGGCCATAGGAAATTAGAGGACATATGTTCACCTTGGTTGGGATGGGGAAGGAAACACTGTGTCTCTCTGCTACCAACTACGGTAACTCTCCTCCTCCTGCCAAGAGCAATCTATTAAAAAAAAACCACTCCAGCCCAGATAGAACCTTTACTGTCTTACAACAGGACCTTGTCTAAGTTTCCAAAGCATACTTTTTTCATTTTTTTCAGGATAAACCACAGTGCTCTAAGCAGCTAAACAGTCAACAGCAGCACAAGAACCGGCCTGCATTTATATTTTCTAAACCTGTACATGCCCTTTTATATTACCCTCCCTCTCTATGTACAGACTCCAAAACACAGCTGGGAACTCACACACATGGATGCAAGCACATATACATACAATGGAATCTTCCTCTAGCTACCAAAGCACTGCAGTTTCTGCCTTTGTAGACATAAGGGCTTCTGAGACACTGAGACTTAATGGAAAGACCTAGAGGTTCATAGGAGCCTTGCAAAAATTGCTTTTCAACTTCTTTCATAGAAATTTTGTGTCCCACAAGCACACATAGAAATTGTCACTAGCCACTTACAGAATTACTGTCATGTTTACATGCCAAAAGTCAAACACTAAAAGCTCACATATGCAACTCCTATGAGAATACTTATATCACAGTTTTATTAACACTACTGTTTATTTTACCATATGAAATGTGAATAAAGGCCTGAAATTTCATTGTGATTATGTGCCCATCTACTTCACATTTACACACTTTTCTATCCCAGTAATCTGGGTACTGTATTTTTGACTTATATTGTCACATTACACGTCTGGACACGAGCAGCTTCCACAGCACAATGAAGCACACATTCCTGCTTTTTTTTTTTTCCTGGATATTACTACACAGAAGAGGAGTAACTAACTGATCTCTCAAAAAGTTTTTCTTTGCCTTCCTTCTCAACCACAACATTTCCTCTCCTTTCCCCAGGAGACATCCTTTTTGCTTCCAAGGCCAGTTCAATGTGAGACACTAAATTTCAGGTGTAAAAATATACCCCATGTTCAGTGGGGTTATTCACTCATTTAGGTCAACCACACTTTGAGGTGCCTTAGTGCCATAAAAAACCAGACCACCATGACCTGGGTCACAGAAAACTGAGTTTGCTGGAAAGCACGATCGCAACACCGACTTTCACACATTCACATCAGCTACATCTGCATCCCAGGGTATCCATCCATATTCCTTCTAAGTGCCAAAATTCGCTCTCTCCTAACAGCAACATTTAAGACTTTTTTGTCCCTAATTTCCTGATGTCCAACCATGCTGTTGCTAGAGTGTTTTGGTGGGAGTTAGCTATTACACAGATTTTACATCGGGCTTTCACCCAGCTGCATCTGCCCAAGTAACAATGTCCTGGGAGAAAGACTTTACTACTGCCAGCTTTCCTTGCATTAGCTTTTAGGACAAAAACCCCTGAGTTGTATCAATTTCTTTAATATAGGATGAAGCTTAAGTGAGCACTCATGAACCAGTAAATATCTATCAATTAATATTGGTGGAATTAGATAAATAATTACAGGAAATACAATGACCTGTTTCAAAATGGTTGCTTGAAAGGATGGGCTTAATAAATTAGCCTTGTTCTTAAATGCTGTTCTTGGTGCACTCAAATAAATTATTTCCTTCTGGAGCATTCTGGCCTGTATTTTCCCTGAATTTCATATAAATATTTGCTGTACATTTTTGTGTTTCTAAAACTAGAAAAAACAGATCATTTTAGCTGCATGATTGCCATTTATCTTTTGTCTTCCAATAATAAGGATATTAAGGCCTCACAGCAAGTATTTCAATGAAACCTTTAAAATACTGTGAGAGTGGTAGAGAGGCCGAAGACAGCTACACAGGAAAGAAGATGGAAAGAGGGTTGGTGTTACTTCAAAGATACTTAATGTTATACTAACTCATGAAAAGGGAATTCTCCATGAGGTGCCTGTCCTAGCCATGCCAGCAGTTTTGAAGGCCTCTGCAGTCTCTCCTTGGGGTTCCTAATGGTTTGCAGCCCTCTTCTGACAGGTTCTGCTGAAGTGCAAGAGGTTATCACAAGGATAGTCTGCTCCTCTCTCCTTTTTCCTTCTGGAAACAAGGAGCAGAGCAACTAATAACAAATACTTGCTTGTGTATTTGTCTTGGGAGGCACCAGGCATAACACGTGGTGCTATTTAATAGTCCCATTATTCATAATCCTTGCAAGTGGAGAGTAACTGTCATGACAGGTAGGTTAAACAGAGGAACAGAGATGTGAACAGGTCAAACAGTGTCTGTGACAGATGAAGAGAGCACAGCCTAGGATCACTGACTTTTCATCTCTCTTTCACTCTAGTTCAGTCTCAAATACACCAGACTTCAGCTGTCTTTACCTTTTCCTGATCTTTAAGCAGTACCCTGATCCTAACTCAATGGGGCATTCACCTAGGAGAGACCAAGATGAGCACAGCAATAATCAGGCTAGCTCGGGGGATGGGGATCCATGCAGAGAATCCCAGTAGTGTTGGAACCCCTCCTTTGGATTGTGATAGAACAGCATCTTCCTGTTTGCACAACAGGGTTATCTCAGAGACACAGTGACTATTACAACACATGGGTTATAAATGCTATCTGGCCCTATTTTAAACAACCAAGGTAACACAACCTCATAGATTTCCAACAGTCTTTTGCAACTTCTAACTAAAGACTGGCTGATCAAGGATCTAAAACAATGGATATACAACACAGGGAAAAATACTTACATTCTTTCCTTACATTTAAACATCAAAACCTCTTCTATTGCCCATATCCCTTACCAAGAATAATTTTGTTTGTAGAGAAACATGAGAGAAGGTAGCTGTAACCCAGGTTATCACAGAGACTTTGTGCTGTACGCAGGTCCTCTGCCACTATCAGCAGACCTTCTCTGAATCCAGGTTAAACAAACCTGCTTTCTGTCACTTTTTAAAACTGTGCTGTTGGGGAATTCATCATTCAGTGGGAACTTTGCCTCTGCTAAACAATTGTTTCTCAAACCACGAGTTGCCAAAAGACAATGATACTCACAGTGTTAAAAAACCCAAAGTTTGTCAGGAATATCTCAGTTTTGACAGCTGGGGACTGAGAAGATCCTGCAAGTATCTAGGGTAGCTACTGATCTACCAACTACCTTGGCTTGCTGTCAGTGAGTCTAGTCTCCCTGAAAAAGTTACTTTGCAGGCAGCAACTACAAAAATCTATCATCAAAAAAGGGAAGAATTCAAGACAATGACAGGGAGAGAGGTGAATCAAAAGGAAATCACAGATTCAGAAAGTTCAATAAACACTGTACTAAAGGACATAATGGCATTGCATACAGTAGATTGCAAAATAAGGAAGTGCATATGCTGCCTGCTAACAGGAAAAGGAACTGCACCACAGGTTACCTCCCTATGAGATTAAAAGAAAGATACATAAAACTTTCCCTGATGATGGCCTGGCTGGTAGCACATTTATCAGACTTGATCAATTAATCAACTACTTTTTTGCCATATATGCAGTATCCTACAATTGAAAAGTAGGGCATGATCCTCACAGTCTGGAAGCATTGGTCCTTCTGAATGAGATATTAGTAGATGAATGGGAAGAAACTACACACGACTCATTTTAGCTGGAAGAAGTGCTCAGCATGTGTAAAAATCCTGCTTATTTCACCTGTCTCAAAATGTATTATGAACTTGGTACCTTTTGGGTTGTATGCAGACAGCTGATGAGCTTGCTCAATTTCCCTCTACCATTTTGAAGGGCTTCAGCTATAAAAAAACTTATTGCCAAACAGTCCTTCTGTTTTCTTGTTCTTAAACCAGCTTTATACACTCCCAAGTCCTTTCCCAGCTGTTTCTGGGAGAAGATGGTGTGTGATTTCTCCCACAGCAAATCTTAAATAATTTATTTTACTTCATATTCTACATGTTCATACATATATTCTACATAGAAATATATTTCTACATCTTATTTGACATTCCAGGGCACCTAGGCAAATGGCATTCAACTTAGTTAATATTAAACTTGTTGCAAAAGATAAAAGACCCCTTCCTTCTCCCACCCTCTTAACACCCTAGTGTAAAAAATAACACCCTCTGGACAACAAAAGTTTGGCTAGAAATTTCTAACATAATGAAGATCAGAAACCATCTACTAACAGGAGACAAACAGAACATCCATCATTTTTATCCTCAGGAGGACCATCCAAAACCATACTTTGTCTAGCCCTCAAGAATGCATATTCATGGGTTGTAAACCAAGCTGTGTCCAGCTAATCTTGGATATACGGTACAGGCATCCCTTTCCTGGGAACCAAGTCAAGTCATTCTCAAGTACCAAAACACACTCATTAGCACTAAGCGAGTGGCTTTTCAACAGTGCAGTTATGAGCATGATGTAACAATTTAAATGGGATTAAACAAAATTCAGTAGACTTCCATAAAAAGGAAATGCAGTGTTCAGGTTTCAGAAATATCACAGGTGTGACTTTGATCTTTTCTTATGAAAAAAAAAAAAAATCAAAGTTATGTATAAAAATTACATCAATGATCTTACAGATTTTTTTAAAAATTAAGCCCTGTCAGTCTTTTCCATGGACATTTCTTACTGTCCTGTATGATTTTGCAGCACCTCAAAATTCATGGTGTTTTACAGTATTTGTCTAAATACTGTAGGACTCCTGGTCACAGCTAATAGCAAAATATTCTCTGGCTACCGAACCATAATTAAAATAATGAGAAATGAGAAAAGAATAGAGAAGAGGAAGAATTTAGCCTGATAGTTAGGATAATAGATTACAGACCTACGTGTAAACAGTGGCTGTGGGCCCAATACATATTCCTGATCAAAGCAGTATGAAGTGGACACTTCACAAAGGGTTAAGGTCAGGTATTTCTGCTCAGGTTTTCTGTCTCTCACATCAATGGCATTGAGGCTGGTCTTGCTGTGTTTTGTAAAGGCACCCAGCTAGCTGCCAGAGTATAAACTCAAGAAAAAGAGAAGGTTGGACAGATTAATTCAAACTTCACTTGGTTGAACTTCTCAAA